GGGGGGGGGGGTAGAGAAGACAGAGGAAATGCTTCCTCTTGCCGGCAGCAGACTAATGGCATCATCCCAGCCTAGGCGAAGTTACTGACTGGAGCTCCTGGACATCTTTTTAAGAGAGAACTGCGAGGTGAGTGATTTACACTCATCCTCATAGTTGGAGCCGACGTGTGACATTGAAACTGTCACACGTCGACTCTATTGATCGGAAAGTGAGCGAAAACATACCGTCGCTCGCTCACTTCCCGATCATCTCACTGCAGAGAGCGGTGACTGTCAGTCACCACTCCCAGCAGGGATTCCTCTAGAAAGGCAGAGCCCGCTGTCAATCGGCCAGCTGGTTGGATCTCGACAGTATTGCCGGGATCTGTCCCGGCTGGTGCGCTCTCAGTATATCACGGGCAATATCCCGCTATATACTGAGCTTTGGGTCATGGGTGGAGGTTAGTATATGTCCTCCCCTGACCCTAAAGAGAACTATGGGATAAAAAGGTTACCACATAGTTCTATTTTAATGTTAAAAGATGTAGCTTTTTTGAAAAATTATATTGTTGCTGTTGTGATCTGCCAGGAATTGATTTATGTAACGTTACTGAAAGGTTCACTTTACTACAATATGTATATCTATGATTTGTTTACAGTCATTCAGATTCTTTACTGTCATTATAGACAGATACATAACATTTATTTTAATTTTTTTGCATGATTTGAAAATCTAAAGAAAACCTGTTACCACGAGCAGTAAATACTGGCTTGATAAAAAAGAAAGTCTATTTTGATGGGTTACCTTTTATTTGAGGCTTTTCTGGAGTCTTACCTCCTTTGTGTTGGAACCCGCATAGAAGAACCTTGAGTTACTAACCTGTACAGGAACTCTCATGCTCCAAGTTCGCCAAGCCCACACACGCAAAACTGTCGCTAAACCCCCACCCCAACCCAATAATTTGCAGCCTGAGCATTCCCCATCCCGCGGTTATACGCCCCCTTCCATAACTGATTGGACCAGGAAGGGGTGTGTCAGTGACTGTTTTTACACCAAGCCCATCACTACTCCAGAGCAACCTTGGAAATGCTTCTGAGTCAGGCATCTGTTGCAGAATAATGCATGGTGGAGTTCATAGAGTACAGTAGGTGAGCTTAAATGAAAGCGTATTTTTGTCAAAAGTTATATGGGTGTTTTAGAGCATTATTCAGCTTGTAGACACATTCTCTTCGTCTACAGTGGAGTTAATAGGTACCAGTGGAATAGAGAGGAATTACATTTTAGCGATTAGGCTGTATTCAAATCCAAGTGACACCTATTATGCGCATCTTACCTGTATTTTTTTTTGTGCGTTTCTACGAGCGGATTGTGCCATATTGATGTGCATGGGCAAAGCGCACTGAATCTGCTCAAAAGTAATCGCAACATGCGTTTTTCAAGCATTTTCTTTTGAGTAAATGGGGAGAAAACGCACTGAATTTGCCCCAAAGTAGCTCATGTAGTATTTCATGTGACAGGCGTATTTCTGCTTGTGACAAAACACCCAGGTCTGAACAGGGGCCATAGAACAATGGGATTCCTGGGGTCAAGTGTTTTGCCGCGCTTGATGCGTGACAATACGCTTAGGTGTGAATGGAGCCTTATTGTCCTAGCACAGGTAGTAAAGTAAAAGCAAACTTCTGATTTGCCTTTTTTCTGGGTTTTGTTACAACAACCTTTTAATGCTTGTAATGGATCGGTACATGTTAGGTTACAAATTATGCAGAAAATTTACTTTAGCAGATTTTCAACATTTGGCCATGTTTTTGTACTGTTTGGTACTGTTGTGAAATATAGATTTTTACATGAATCAGCTAATTGACTGACCGACTGTGCTGTTATCCCTCCACACCCATTGTTTTCATGATTTGCATTATATTTTAATTCACTTAGACAAACCCCCCATTTACATAACGTGTCTTTGAATTCATCATTTCCATAAAGTGGAACTAGGCCAGACTAGGGACATCCTAATATTTACTCATTCCTAAGCAGCAGTAGATAACATTTCAAATGTAGCCACAGCCGCTGTGGAGGAATTCATGTTCAAAGTTTGCAGCAAAGGTTTCTCAGTTTTTTGACTCTCACTTTTGCTCTGTATTATTCTTACTCTTATTATACAGGATTTATATATCTCCAACAGTTTGTGCAGCACTTTGCAATATAAGGGAGACATTACAATCACAATACAATTCAAGACAAGATGGTAAGGAGGGCCCTGCCAAGCTACCTCCTGCCATTCTTCTAATCTGTGATGAAAACACAGAGCTGGTGCACGGGAAGAGGGGAGAGAGCAAAGTGTTGAGACTAGACTTGAACAACTTCACTAATTCTATTGTGAATTTCAAACACTAAAGTTGCCCATAAAAGCTTGATTTGCATGGAAACAAATGCATACCTACATCTCCTGCTGCCTGGATTGTCGAATGCTGCTCCGGTTCAGAAACATCGCAGCTAAAGTCTTTTGCAGAAACTAACTCTTCTGACTGTGCAGTGGAGTGGCATTCAGGGGCACAGGTGGCAGGAAGAGTAAGTATTTCAATGCTCTTGTGCAATATTTATAGGTGGTTTTAGTTTCCGCCCAAGGTCGCTTTAAGGATAAATTGCTCCACAGTGGTTATAACTACAGAGGTCAATGAGGGTTTATTTTAAAGCTTCTTTACTGTTTAAGTTTAAATAAATTTTTCAATGTCTATAGTTTGGCCAGAGTTCTACATGGCAAAGCAAAACCCTAATATAGGTACTTTAGAGTACTTAATGTTTTAATATTTATTGTGTGTTGTACTTTGCAAAATTATCCCGTACATAATAATGTCAGCAAACTGTCCTACACAGTTACACTGAGCTTCAGACAGATATAAAGGACAGTTCTATTCAGCTATGTACTTCTAAATCCTTATATTTTTTGAAATGCTGCCAGCATAGATATCTGATTTGAACTTGATGCCCATTTTAAACCTCTATACAGTAGCTGCCTGGGAGAAAGAATAATAAAGAAAGTTAGCACTAACAGAAAATCAGCTGTGCTGCATGCAAATATGCTAAGAAAGTGCAAGCTGACAGGAGGAAAGCGCAGAGTGAGCAGAGAGCTTACCTCATCATTCTACTGCTGCTGCTTCACTGTCCAGTTAGTAAGCTGGGAGCAGGGTGGTGTCACCACTGTATTCCTTAAACAGACCCTGTGACCACTCCATGCACATCAGGTAAGCATAGCAAGTAAATGTATTCACATACTGAAGCTACTTCCCCCAATTGGTCCTGACATTAATGAAGGTCCTGGCAGTGGCCAGGGAAGCCTTGCACAGTCTGCATTAACAGTCTTGAATGATGCTCTAGCAGCCTCCAACTCTCCCTATCCTTTCTGTGCAGTGGTGAGTAAGGGAACTGGCAAATTTAGGCACTGACTTTTTTGGTATGTGAGTACATTTACCTGCTATGTTTAACTTGATGTGCATGGGGTTATGACAACGTCTCCTTAACAGAAACAGAAAAAGTGGTGTCATTGTTCTGTCCGTTCTGTGTGGTAGAGCTTTGTAAATTTCAGGACTGAATAGATTGAAATGCAAATCTTTGGCATGTCAAACAGCTCCCTTATCAGTGTTTCATCTGTGTATTTAGATGTTTGCCTTGAGTTTAGCGTTAGTTGATGTAACATTTTTTTTTTGTATCCTCAGAAACCCAGTGATGTGACCAAAGGCTGAATAATCGCAGGATACTCTCTGGCATCCCATTCCTACATTAAGATAAAAAAAGTACAAACCTCTATTTCATTATGTCGGGATCTGCCCAGCAAGCGGCACCAAGCAGGATGGCTGCAGAAGCCCGTTACACTCCACATCCTATTCCTTACCCAATACAGTTATCCCGTTCCCATACGGTAAGCAACTTATTGTTTCATAAAAGGTTGTCTTCTCTTCAAGTGAAATGCAGATGACTGGTCCATGCAATAGAAGAGATTTTAGGAATGTTAGTTGCCTGTGTATCACGCAGTGCTGTGGTTCCATCCTCTAAAAGACACAGCAGTGACGTAGGTGCTGGAAGACAAAACAGTGGGGCAGGACAGGGGACACAAGCTTTTGACAGTCCCGGAAGTCTTAAATGCCAAAGTGTCCTACAATGGCTGCAGTGCTGGCATAGAGGGAATGTAAGCGATATATGCCACCAGAGAAGTGAATTCCAAAGCTCTTCTATTGCGGGGACCTTTAACAGACTTCATATCTGACAGGGCCACTTTAAAGCCTGGTTCACACCTGGGCGTTTTGTAGCGCGTTCGAACCCTCTGCAAAACGCGCCCAAAGAAGTACAGAAGCTTCTTTGGGGCGTTTTTGTCGCGCGTTTCCATTGGGATACAGCCAAGTAGCCTTCGGAAACGTGCGTTTGTCGCGCGGTTTTTACCGCGAATCGCGGTAAAAACGCGTGTCACGAAACACGCGACAAATGTGCATATTCGATATGCTTAGGTGTGAACCCAGCCTAAGAGTTTTCCACAACAGTAGCTCCCAGGATGCTAAACTTCAGCATTTGTAAATGTATTCTGTTTTTGGAGACTCATTCTATGACCGTGCAAACAAGTCACTGGCAGGTTTAGAGTAAGGTGCCCCCCTATCAGTCATAGCTGTACTTTTACAGATGAGGGGAAAAAAACCTTTAACCACTTTAGATCAAGGGCTGTTTTTAAAACAGTGTTACAGCTACTTTTGGCAGCCAAATGGCATGAGTTATGGCGTGTGCATGAAATCTGTGTGTGGAGAACTGCACTGCAAACTAGCATTCAGCCCAGCAGCTGAACTATTCTACTCTAGGGTCTTGTGACCCTGCTTCAGCTTCTGTTAAATCACACTTTAAAACAACATCATTATTAATATTATTATACATGATTTATATAGCGCCAACAGTTTGCACAGCGCTTTACAACATAGGGAAGACATTACAATCACAATACAATTCAAGATAAGATGGTATGGAGGGCCCTGCCCCTGAGGGCTTACAATCTAAAAGGGTGGGGGAAGTGATACATGAGGAGGGAGCTGCGTGGGGATGAATTGTTTGAGAACGTGATAGTTCAGTGGTTAGGTTGAGGTGGGATAGGCTTCCCTGAAGAGATGAGTGAACATGAGTGATTCCCTGAACATGACTACAATGCTGTGAGCTTTGGCAACCTTCTTGGAGCAGGCCAGAAAAAATGTATTTACAGAGTGATTTGTGTTTAATTTATTAATACTAATATGCAAGTTTATCTGAGACTTTAGTATGCCAGTCTATAACTGATTTGAGTTGTGTTGCTTTATAATATTTGTAGAAGTCTGTGCTGCCCATCTTTCATTTGAGTTCTTTTTCTTTATTTTAGTCGATATGTAAAACGAATAACTCACCATTTTTAATTTTTTCCCATAAAAATCCTTGAAAAATTAAAAACATTTTTGGAAATTAAAAAGGGTATTATCCGCAATAGGTAATATTTTTATGTATAAACCTGAAAAAAACCCAATTTTACCTATCCAAGAGGTATTTAAAATATACCAGATTCTGAATGTATGTTCCATGCAATAATGGCAGAAAATGATATTTATGTCACAAATGGGCAGACTTCCCCCTAAGCACCATTGAAATGGGAGACTAGCTGGCTTTGAACATGCTGGGACCAGTTGCTCACCCTTTAGGAAGAAGGAACAATTGACCAGGTTATACAGAGATTTTTCAGTACCCCCCCCCCAGAGTAGCCCTAAATGGTCCAGTCCTCTCCCAAACCTTGTATAGAGGGTGGGATCAGGGTGTTCATTGTCAATCGAAGATGGATAGCTAGGTATTTCATTTTGGTATCATTGTATGAATGGAATGTTTTCTATCAGTCTATTGCGCAGTGTCTTCATGCCTAAAATGTGCAGAGCTTTTGATTTTTGAAACTTAATATGCAAGTAAACTAAATGAGTTATTTTGTAATACTTATTTTGGAGATTACAGCTTAAAGTAGTATTAAACTCTCAAACTTTTTTTCAATAATGAATCATTGTTTGAATGAATAATCAAACAAATATACATAGCCCAGCAAAGCATTGCTTTACATTTTGCCCAAATACCAAATACATGAAATCATCATGTTTCTGAACAGCTGCTTCCAACTCTCTCAGCTCAGCTTCCCTGAAATTCCTGTCCAGTACACGATCACAAGGGACAGATCAGACTACAGTAGATGTATATCTACTAGATTGGGGAAGGGAGAATGGAGAAGCAGGGAGGGGAGCAGCTTTCCTTGCTGTGCCTGTGTGTTCCTAGCGCACACAAGGGTGGCTCCATAGGACCCTGCAAGGGAAAGGAGCCACCCAAAAACAGGATATCAGGACCAGTGCTCAGGAGACCAGCTGATTCTGCAGGAAACTAAAACTTTTAAACATCAAGGAACACAGCATTCATTGTAAGGGATTTCATCAGCATTTGAAATAACTTAAAATCCTTTTGATTTTAATATTACTTTAAAGCTTTTTTCTTTTTCTTGTTAGATCTGATATGTCTGTCCAAAGCAAAAACAATTTTGACTATGCAATTTCATTTCTATCCATTTTATGTTTACTATTGCACCGAAATGAAAATTTTAGACCGAAAATAAAAATGATGTCAGGCTGAAACCGAAACTGAACCCAAGAATGGCTTTTTCCCCCCAACTTTTTTAACCTTTTTTAAACTTACATTTTTTTTTCTTTACTTTTGGGTCTTTGGGGAAATATCAGTGGTTCTAAACAGATGCGGTGCTGATATTTTCCTTTTTAAATAGAAAAAGAGATTGAAGACACAAGAGTCCTAAATCTCTTTTTCTACAGCCCCCTGTTATGAATAAACGGGAAGCCTCCATACTGAATGCTTAGTCCATTCATAAGCTGTGCAAACAGTAGAAGTTACTATGTCTACTCACACTCATTCCCTACAGATACACACACACACGCACAGCATCACACAGACACACCCACACTCAGATTGTATAGACAGACACCTGTTAGATCTATTTTTACTTACTAAAGACACGTTTCTTAAGCATCTTATAGATTTCTGCTGTAAGATATACTATATTTTGTAATCATCAAGCATCTTATAGACTCATTCTGTAAGATATACCATATCCTGTAATATTTTGTAACTTTAAATTAAACACATTCTGAACTTTATACAACAACGGAAACAATCATCTATTATTGAACTTTTCCACCCTATGCTTCGAGAAAAAGAATATGACCTAAAAAAATCATATTTCGTGTCATTTTTCTTACAGTCCACAATCATGAATGAACAGGAAGTGATGTAGAGCACCTGCTGTTCATTCATACCTGGGGACACAGTAAGCATATTATGTCTTCCGTTATTTACAAACACTCAGCAATCAGTACTGTCGCAGGAGGCCAAGCGAGGCGTGCAGGAGGAGAGCTCGGCCTCCTGTAACCGCTGACAGCTCTCTCCTCCCTGCCCTGCCCGCTCGGCATTCTGAGAGCTTCTCTCTTCCGTCCAGGCGTGGGCAGTTTGATCCTCTGTGTCCCCTCGGATCCTCACTGCCTCTGACAAAACAGGCGGAGGAGAGCAGGTGGTATCGGAGGGGACACAGACTGGCGTCCAGCAGGGAGTTCTATTGGCATTTTGCCCAAAGTACCATTTCCAGCCTAAATATTTACCTAATTCAAACGTTTAAATTTGCGGGAATCTAAAACTGATAGCTTAGGAGCATAAAGTGTATCTATATCCAAAAATCTTTATCTAATTTATTATTATCAGAGGAACATTTTTGCAGTACTTTAAAGTGTGTATGGCGTTCCCTTCAGCTCCAGCCTTTAAAAGAGCTTATAATTTTATCCTACTATAGTCAGTAACATGACTTTGGGTGGAATCAAGGTGTTTCATGGGCTGTGGAAGAAAACAGGAGTGCCCAGAGAAACGTATGCAGTTATAAGCAGAATATACACAATCCATGCAGATGGTGTCCTTGGTGGTAACTTAACTAAGTCAAGTAAAGACCGCTAACTATTAAGCCATTATGAGGTTTATTTTAGTTCAATGTCACCTGTTCTTTTGTGTGCTTATTTTTATGAATGTTGCACAATAGTACAAAGTATATGTCCTACACAGTATATGAATGAGAGTATAAAGTAGCTTACAGTCATAAAAGAACAGTGTCCCCTCCTTTTGTTCCAGATCAGGTGATGGTCTCATCAATGGGAGCAAGCAGACCCCCACTGGCATATAGCTGTCAGAGGGAAACATTTTAGAAAAGCAGTTTAGAAAAACCTTTCTAGCTCACTACAGTTCTGCCCCAGTGTCGGTGGCAGCAGGTAGAATGTGCTTGCACTATTGTCTTCTTCCCTTCCGCCTTACTGCATTGACGTAATGGAACAAGGTTTGCAGGGCCGACCCTTCAAGTACATGAAGTTTTCTGCCACTCTGGAAAGATTTGCCGCCATACTGCCCTCTAATATCTAGTGGAACCCTTAGTATTTTACTCTTATCGCCCTTTTCCCCCATGCACTTGTGTTTTATCTTCTGAAATGTATTGAGATCAGAGGTCTCTTTAAAATTCTCTGCAGTTTTTTTTTTTCCTGTCTGTTTCAGAGTAGTTCCGTTTGATGTTGTTTGTTTAAGATAAACCGCATTTCCTATTCTAAGAGATAAGGAGAAAACTTTAAAGCGTGCCTTTTTTGGTTTTGTAATTTAACTTCCCTTACAGTGTATTTCCACTTTTCCAAATTGAAAGGCAAGAAATATTTTTTTATGACTTTGAGGTATGCTGTCTGAATAGGAACACATAACAAACATAGTGGGGCTTTTTCAAATCTGACTGCAAAATGTGGAAATACATTTTAAAGGGAACTGTATCATCATAATTAAAGTGCATGTAATGTT